TCTTCTTCTTCTTCTTCTTCTTCTTCTTCTTCTTCTTCTTCTTCTTCTTCTTCTTCTTCTTCTTCTTCTTCTTCTTCTTCTTCTCCTCCTCCTCCTCCTCCTCATCCTCCAATGGTGCAGTGCTTGACAGTGGATATGTCAGCTGGGCTAATGAACTGACTTGCTAATACAAAACTTAAAAAAAACAATAAAAGACCTAACAGGTCATGTTCTCGAAGTCCTAAAGAAAAACAAACAATTGGCACACCAGTCTCCTGTTTGTCCATTAGTGTTAAAAATCTCACATGAACACTTCATAAGTGATTGTCATGTCTCACATGCCAACATATTCAACATGCTACTGGAGTATGACGACTAACAAGGAACCTCTAAAGTAGAAGTTGTAAACAACATGGTTGTGGTTACTACTAAAATTGATTGTTTCACTACAGTTTATTGAAGTAACGAAATTGATGGAAAGACTGATACGGCTGTCGACAATTTTGCAATTAGCAGATCGGTGTTCAGCAACAGTAATTACACTGTCAGTCTTTTTTGTTTGTTTATATTGCGGCTGCCGTTTAATTGCCTCTTGTTGTGTAACATAAGTTGTTTACTAATTATGTGCTGAAGTTTAAGAGACTACAAAGAAGAAAAAAGTAAACACGGGCTTGGTCATGTATCAAAGTAAACTTGCTCCTGCAGCCAGGCTCTGTCGTTATTATAAGATGACAAGTTATCTTCCTGACATCTTTACTATTGCTATCGATTTTTATGTTGTCTAGTGTGTCCTTCCGCGGCGTCAGTGGCTTAGGCGTTGCGAGTCCGACTCGTAATTCCAACATACCGCGATCGAAACCCACTGATGGCTGCGTGGATTTTCATCGTGGTATGGGTCGTCGCAGGTCGACCCAGCCTAAAATGGGTACCAGGATTGCTGTCCTGGGGAAGTAAAGAGGCTGGCGTAATGCTGACCACATTACCCATCTAGTGCCGATTGGTCTGTAAAAATATGGGAAGCTCTTCCCATATGGCCGATGCGCCTAAGGCGGGAAAAGGGATCTAGATAGTGTTTCCTTCTTTCTCTCCAATTCTTTTTGTGAGTGCCGAACTGCAGTCTATCTGTTTATTACTCTATATACTATATACTGGGGTCATTATATTTGTTTATTATATGCTGTGTATAATATATATACTGGCTGAAGGGCTTTTTTGCTAGTTATTTTATTTCTCTGTACTGCTACGTAGAACGCTTCTTCTTCTCATAGTCCCTGGCTTTTGGCGTTGGTAGTCATGTCAATCCGCAACCTTTTGTCACGTGTATTTACAATCAGCTCTGATACTGATAATTTCCCATGCCTTGATGTCATACTGCCCTACATCGTCTCCCTTGGCCTCCTCATGCCTCTCTTCCCCCTTCAACTTCCCCACGATCATGATTTAGTAAGGATTTTTTTTTTTTTTCTCTCTCTTGGTTGCTCTTTTTGGCTGTCCAAGGTATTCTAAGCATTCTTCTGTAACACCACATCTCTGAGGCCTCCAGAAATTGTTTGGCCTGCCTACCGATTGTCCAGGACTCACAGCCATATGTTAAAACTGGATGTATGTAGCAAGCAAGAATTATTTTTCTAACTCTCAATGACAATTTTATAAAGTCCAGTTTTTGCCTGTCCTATTCTGTTTCTTATCTCAGTTATGCATCTTTCATCTGATGTTATCCATGTGCCAGCAATGAGAAGACAGGGGACTCACAGTCCATGGCGATGACGAGTTTGACTATAAAAGACCTGCTCGCGTTAAGAGAAGAATTCCACAGTTATAGCATGGGGTGTCGGGTAGGTGATTGAGGCAAAACCTGGTTAGTATTGCAGAGACTATATGTTGCCCACGCGTCATGATCCCTTGCTCGATCTACCTTGTTTACTCCGAGTGAAAGGTAACACCAGTATACATAGTAATATATGTGTATATATGTATATATATATATATATATATATATATATATATATATATATATATATATATAAGAATACTGATGAGGAAATCGAGTATGTCCATTCCGAGAGTATTACAGTATTACAGTAGTAAACCCAGTCTGTGTTGCTGCACGAGCCTACAAACCTGTCTGTTGCGCAGGTTAGTTGCTTATCCTTGACAGGACATTGCAGAAACACACCCAGCAGCCCCTGACTGTTGTGTGGTTTCTTTAGGCAAATTTACGTCCAGTAGTTTGCCATTGCTTCTGGACGGTCGGCCTTCTGATACCACTGTCGAAACCAACGCAAGGAGCATGGCCCGCAGCTGGGATCGAACCCGGCATCCCCACATTACGAAGCGTTCGGATCGACTTGGCCACAGAGCCATCCTGTTGCACAGAGACACGTTATATTAGAAGGGACTGCTTGGTCTAGAGTCATGGTGTCCGCCTCGAATTTTAGTGGTTCCGGTTCAATCAAGCGGTAAAGGCTGGAATTATTTTTTTTTCTTCGCGTGGACCTTGACTTCTAGTAATTCCAACTGG